TGCCTGCCTCTCAAGTAGAAACCTTGTGCTGAAGGAAACAAACTAATGGCAAAGGGGTTTAGGAGGCAAAGAATGGGCAGCAAACCAGGAGAAACTGTGTCAATTTATTTTTCTAGGTAGGAGTGTCTGAGAGGCTGCTGTAAATGGATTCAGACTGAAACAGAAGCAGATGGTTAAGCGTTGTGTCTTGGTCTGATGCTTGCAGACATATTCATTTACAAACAAAATCTTATCCGGATGCTATGGAGTTTGAATAATTTTGAACATTGTGGTTATTTACTGCAAAATATATATTTTTTTAGGAGAGACCCTGTTATATAGTTAAAATGATAATATCTGAATAAACACCCCACTTTCCTGTTATATTTCCATGTATGTATGTATATACAATGAGGAAAGTGGGCATTATAAAACCCTGCTATTTTGCAAGTTCTCCCACTTAGAAATCATGGTGTCATCATAGGTGCATGTCAACTGTGAGAGACATAACCTAAAAAAAATAGGTATTTGAAGAACTGTCTATCAACTAGAATTCTGATCCTCAAGGACCTGGTTAGTCTGCCTTCAAAATGTCCACCTCCATTCCATTTATAGTCCTAAATTAGATGCACCTGTTTGATGTGGTCAGCTGCATAAAGACACTGTCCACCCCATACAATCAGTAAGAATTTAACTACTAACATGGCCAGGACCAAAGAGCTGTCCAAAGACACTAGAGCACAAATGTACACCTCTACAAGGCTGGAAAGGGTTACAGGGAAACTGCCAGACAGCTTGGTGAAAAAAGGTCGACTGTTGGAGCAATCACTAGAAAATGGAAGAGGCTAAACATGACTGTCTATCTCCCTCGGACTGGGGCTCCATGCAGGATCTCACCCTGTGGGGTCTTTTTGATCCTAAGAAAGGTGAGAAATAAGCGCAGAACTACATGGGAGGAGCTGGTCATGACCTGAAAAGAGCTGGGATCACAGTTTTCAACGTTATTGTTGGTAATACACTAAGACGTCGTGGTTTGAAATCATGCAAGGCCCAGAAAGTTCCCCTGTTTAACCCAGCATGTCAAGGCCCGTCCTAAGTTTGCCAATGACCATTTGGATGATCCAGAGGAGTCAAGGGAGAACGTCATGTGGTCAGATGAGATCAAAATAGAACATTTTGGTCACAATTCTACTAACCATGTTTGGAGGAAGAAGAATGATGAGTACCATCCCAAGAACACCTATTCTACTGTGAAGCATGGGTGGTAGCATCATGCTTTGGGGGTGTTTTTCTGTACACAGGACAGGGCCTCTGCACTGCATTAAGGAGAGGATGAGGAGGGCCATGTATTGTGAGATTTGAGGGAACAAACTCTTTCCCTCAGTGAGAGCATTGTAGATGGGTGGAGGCTGGGTCTTCCAACATGACAATGACCCAAAGCACACAGCCAGGGTAGCCAAGGAGTGGGTCTGGAAGAAGCATATCATGGTATGGTGTGGCCTAGCCAGTCTCCAGGCCTAAACCCATTAGATAATCTTTGGAGGAAACTCAAACTCCATGTTTCTTAGTGACAAACCAGAAACCTGACTGATCAAGGGAAGATCTATGTGGAGGAATGGGCCTAAATCCCTCCTGCAGTTTGTGCAAATATGATGCAAAACTACAAGAAACATTAGACCCCTGTAATTTTAAACATAGGCTACTGTACCTTATATTAACATTAGTTTTCTCAGGTGTTCAATTACCTATTTGCAGCTGTGTGATACAAATAAATAGTTAAATGGTTTTTAGATTATGTTTCAGTGGACATGCACCTATGATGACAATTTAAGACCCTTCTTTGATTTTTATGTGGGAGAACTTGCAAAATAGCAGGGGGTTCGAATACTCTGTGCTCTGATGGGGGAATAATGGTAAACCACCAGGCAAAAAAGAAGAAAAAACTCAGAAATCTGGATGATTTCACTCAGATGACCCACTTCTTGTATTATTATGATGCAATTATGGCATAAGCTTCTAGCTTTATTGTGGCTAATGCATTATTGAATTAAAAAGTCCATCTAACTTGATGAAAAAATGTTTTTGCGTTTAATTTTTACCCTCCCAAGTCGTCATGCTATTTGGCGTCTCTTTCATGACACCATCATGTTTGACTTTACAGTGAGACCCCCCCCCCGTATTTCTGTGGGATAAGTTTTTGTTCCTCACCTGAGAAATGTGTTGCTCTCTCTTCTGCGCTCATGATTGTGATTGGTCTGCTACCTTGAACCCGTCCCTTTATACGTACAGCGTTCAGATAATGCTGGATTGTGTTAACAAGTTGATACCTCGCTTTGCGGTGTAGCTGAACCTGACTGCAATTGGATAGGATAAACTAGGTTGGGCTCGCTTCGTGGTATGGGCCTCAGGCCTCAGTGGTCATACTGATGTTGATGCAGAGGGACTGAATAAAGTGATATGAGTGAAGAGGTGGAGGAAAAGACAGATGGGAAGGGACAAGACGAGGAGGAGGAAATGATGACGAAAGGAGAAATAAAACCAATAAAGAGCAGAGACCTAAAAAAAACAAAGCAATGCCAGGTAGAGGGTCAATATGCAGGACTGGGTCAGCATATAATTTTATTCATCTTTTGATATCTGAGGATAGTGGGTAGAAAATATGTTTAGCTTTATCTAAGGAGTTAGCATTTTTGTTTTAGTTACAAGTTGCTTTGATCTTTACAGTATAAAAAGCTGCAAATTGAATTAAATGTAAAATTGTAATAATTTCCATTATTAAATATATAGAGAAACAATTTACATTTTTGGAAAAATATACATTTTGTTAACTCAAATTATTATTATTATTTTCTTTATTGCACATGCATTCTCGTGCCATGGGATTAAAGGCCTCTCCAAACCAAGCTTCCAGGCTGAATTCAGACCCCAGCCAGTATCTCCTAGATATTCATTGTGACACTGAGCTGGCTACGCTTTCAGCTCTTGGCTGGGGTAACATGTGGGCAAAAACATGCCAGGTGGCTCTCCGGGAGAAAACTAGGCTGTTGCTGACCACTGATCTTGTTGAGCAGGGATTCAGCCCAATCCTCCACACAAAGTCCAAGTTCTACAATCACTTGGACTTGGTGGCTTTAGGTGAACTATGACAGAAACTCCCCCGCTATGCAGTTTGCTGTAATAACAAAAAAAATCACTGGAAGAGAAACACTAGATGAAAGGCTTTCTCTAGCTTTGTAAGGTTTTAATACATTTCCTTTGAAAGTTATCCTAATCCTTCTGCTTCACCTCTTCTAAGGTGCAGGCTTGTTTTCTGCTGAAAGAAAAAATATTATTAAATGTTATCTGGCATTTCTGATTTGTGGTTGTTTAATCAATATGTAAATGTTAGATTATAATCCGTATCTGGGGAGCTGTTTTTGTGACAATCTATGTTTGAATTGAAATCTTTAGCCTTTTTTTATTGGTTACTGCCAGGCCTGCCTAAAATACATTTAGTAGGTTACTTTTCTTTGAAACGGCTGAATAAATGTGGAAAAAAGTTTATATAATTTCTTTCCACATGGCTTTCTTCACCCATAAAAACGTTTGTCATACATACATGTGCTTCCTTGATTACTTTGATGATAAATGCAGAAACAACAATATTAGCTATAACGAGAATACATTTTCGAAAAATATTATTTTCAACAATAATATTTATTATTAGTTAAAGTATTAGCATCTTGGGAATCAAATTGTATCTAAGAATTATCATTTGAAAAAACAACCGAGAAACAAAAGGTAAATACAGAAGGGGAGGGACAGGATGGGGAAGATGTAGAGCTGGTTGGAATTTTACTTTGCTCTCAGTTGAGGGATTTTCAGAACAAAAAGAATATATATAAATATAATAATAATATATATGTATATAACAAGAAGAAGACGTTGCAAATAAGCTTTGTTTCAATCTGGGTTCTCTGTTGGGTTTTCAGACTTACAGAATCAATGACGGCTCTGATGCTGCTTGACCCGAGTAATGCGACACTTATAGCCTAAGTATAGGAGTGATTTGTACGATGTGAGTCTTTATGTGCTGAACCACCTTCAGTCCACTCATTGTGAAGCTTCCCCAAATTCTAGAAAGGATTTAGATAGACAATCCTCTTCATGATGCAGTTCTCCCTCTTTCTGTCACATCTTTTCCTTTTTTCTGCTGTTCAATATTTATTTCCCAGTTTTATAAAATATATATTTTTTTAAATTGTGTTTTTTATGATCTGTAGGCCATAACCATGAAATGACAAAGAAAGATTTGAAATATTTCACTCTTTGTATAAAAAATGCATATAAGAATTTTCCTTCCTGAAGAGAGCGACAAAAACGGTTAAACTTTTGGGCAACATTTATTTTACTGTTAATATATAAATACTAGCTCTTTTGCAACACAGTTAAAAACTTCACCCTTTTTCCTATTTTGAAGGGCTCTCTTTATAACTCGTTTTGGGAACTGTTATCACTGTAACATGTTTCCTACTACTTTCATCTCCTTGTCCTAAATTTCTGCCACCCTAACGTCCTTCTACTTTTTTCACATTACTTTTTACAAAGTTACAGCCATATTCAATGAATTAGGAAATAAACGTTAAGCTTATTTATTTCACAAACTCAACTCACTAAGGGAAACACATTTTATAGTTCATTACACATGCACTGATGTCTTCAAGTCATTATTTCTGTTAATGATTATTTTCCACTAACAGCTAACCAAACACATAAAAATAACAGCTCCATTTTAATATAGAAATGTTAGAGCAATAAAAAAAGCTGTTCCAATACAGAAATGCATATTTAAATATTAGCCTAAGGAATTTTATTTTTAAAAACCCTTTTAATGGACAAGCGACCCAGATCAGAATGTATGTTTATTTGTTAAATGTGACAGTAACATGTCTTCTTTAATTTTCCTTGCAATTGTTACTGTATTTACTTTTGCATGCTTTCTCATACAGCGTTTAAAACCTTGATGTATAGTTTCTGCTTACCGTTGACTTCTTGAGCTCCTGCGTCTGTGAAAAGCATGCTCATCACCTCCTCAAAGTTGCACCCAGGCTCACACACGAGGCTGTCCTCGGCTACGTGATGCAGCATTCTCTTGAGAACATCATCCAGGGAGGCGGCTGTCTCATCCAACAATATACTAGCCCTTGCCAGGAAGCCATCCAAGTCCCGGTGTGCCCGAACCTCCTCCTCAAAGTTCATGAGCTTCACATACTGTGGATGAGATTTACTTATATCATCACTTGACTTAAAGCCACAGAGTCCATGTATATTCAAGCAGTTTGGTTTTTTGTTTTGAAAAAAACTAACAAAAAAAAACTTTAAACTTTTTTGCACTAAACATAACTGGAAAAAAAAAACTTGTAAAGAGAGCAATTCTAGCCCGAACTGCAAGTCCTCTGTGTCATGGTGCAAAATGTATTTCATTTTCACTCATAGTCCTGATTTTTATATAGGGATTAAAAACACAAGATATTCTGAGGAAATTGTCCCTAATCATGCAGATCATATAATGACATTGGCTGTCATGGCACATAAATCAAGGCGGCCATCTTTGGGAGGTTGACGTGAGACCAGAACAAGCATGCCAGAGGCTGATTTCACAGTATTTTGGGATTTCTCATTAACATGTTGGTAAAAAAAAAAAACCCACAATAATTTCACTTTTTTGCTTTATTGGATTTCCTTTATTTAAAAATTAAAATGAAATACAAAGATAAACCTGTCCTTGAAGATTTTATTTTTTGTTGTTTTTTTTGTGTTGTTTATTAATGACCAACAGAACCAGCGTCTTCAATGAAATAATGTTCCTTTTTAACCTTACAGATGTTTCGTATCAGTTTATAATTTTCTGTCAATATCAAAGTGTGGACACTGATTTTGCTGGACATGAAAATGGCTTCTTGAGAGGACACATTTTGCTCATTATTCCGGTAAAATGTGGATTCTAACATAAATGACACAATACAGGAGGAGTAACAGTTCTAGTCACTAATCTTTTTTCTTTATATATATATATATATATATATATATATATATATATATATATATATTTTTTTTTTTAGGTTCTAATGGCCTTTATTTTGTTATTTTTCAAACAATGTGGACAGGAAAGTGGGTTACAAGAGAGGGAAGCAACACATTCAGCAAAGGTCAGCAGGATCAGGAACTAACCTGTAGCAGCTGGTAAATGGTTTAGACCCTCTCCCTTCACACCATAGCAGCACCCCAGTTTTTGATTGTTATTGTCTGTTAAACTAATTAACATATTCCTCTATCAAATGGTCATTAAGATAGTATTTAATGTTTTTTTTAAAAAGAGAAAAAGACATTTTAAGAACAATCAATGAAGATTTTCTTCGTCTCAAAACAAGGGAACAAATTAATCTAGCAATTCTTTGACTATGTTGATTCCACTAATAAATCCTGTGAATTGGACACATTCTCTACCCTTATTCCTTTCTGAGAAGACACACGAATATGTCACCCATAATGTAAAATTCACAATGATAATTCTTCTTATATGTTTTATTTGACAATACAAAACAAATGATAATCTACAAAGACAAAGTTCATAAAACCAGATCAATCTAATCTTTGATTTCCTTGAACTGAAGGATGTTAATTTTCTTTGTGATCGGGAATTTGAGAAATCTAGAGAGAAATAAGAATATACAGTGACATTTTAAATCATGTATATCAACCATTTTTGTGAATATATGTGAGAATGTATGAGGGCCTTATTTGATAATTATTTAGCTAAATATATTACAGTTAACTCTAATAAAAAAAACTATATGAATAATAAAAACTATACGAATCTATAACGCATTTGGCAAGTTTGCTTGAGTTAAAGCGCTGACAGATCCACTGCTCTCAAAGCTAACTGTTAATTTCCAGGGAATGTAATGAAGCTCTCCATTGTCAGAGTGTAGAAAGAATGTTTTCCACCACTTTTGGTTTTTGCGTCATTTACGTGCAAAACGTTTCTGTGCTCAGACAACTGGGCTTATGAAACAAATAAAAACATATAATTAAGGCTCGTTATCTGTTTTTTTATTTTTTATTTCATTTAGTGCAAAAGAATGGGAAAACAAAATAATGGGAATAAGGAAGGAGGATGACTCTTTCAGACGGATTTTGAATAATAATACCACTTATTGTGATGGATTTGTATAATATATTATGTTACATGATTTATAGACTTCATTGACTTCATAATGACTATGCAATGTGATTTGCTGATTGGTTTTTTATTATAAATTAAAGTAATCTACTTATGCTATGAAATACTTGAGTCTTGAGTCCCCCTGAAAATTAGAACAGTCTTTGTTCGATGCTGTAGCGCACATATTGTTTACATTAGGACCGGTCTAACAAGGGAGCACCAATATGGCGGCCGATGGCTTCACTTCAACCCCGTACTACCAACAGCCAATCAGCAATCCAATAAATACATAAAGATCAGTGGCTACAGAAGAAAGGTTTAGATCAAGACTTAAAAATATGATATTAACAGAAGGTCTAATGTGTCTGAACAAGCGCTAGTTTGCAAAGAAGAATGGACAACCATGTTATATAATAAATAAATCTTTGTGAAAAAATATATATACTTGAAAAAATAAGGAAGATAGCAAACAATTGTTGTTGGCTTAGCAAGCATCAGCCAGATACCGGAGAGAGGACTAGTTCCTGTTTGGGATCAGCCAATGGGTATGCAGGTCAAACCTGCTGATGCCGATTGGCTGAGTTACGTCGTCATTCACTTAAAAAGTGTCATCATGAAATACAAAGTAAAGGGGAAATACATCATTAAAAAATAAATATCTGACTTATTAAAAGTTACATTTTCAAATAAAGACTTCCTGAATAAATAAAAAAAATCATGAACAACAATTTCTATTTTTGGGATAAATAATTTAACTAACCAATTATTTTCTGAGAATTGTTTCTGCATTCAGTTAATTCATAGTTTAAATGTCACATTAAATAGTGATGCATTATTTATTCAAGTAGATCGTTTTTTCAGAATGATTTTGTGCACATGTATGTTACATACAATATCAGTTTCCGGATGTTCAAAGCTGGTAGTTCTATAAAACATTGAGTCAGGTGGGCTGAACAGAAATATGAACATATTTAAGTTGTGTAACACACAATAAGTTACCCCTTTATATAACATAGGTATGTAACTCTTACTTTAGGCTTTTTCAATTTGACAAAATAAAACAAACAAAATTTGTATCTGATAGATTGACTCTTTATAAAGTGGGTATTTGTCTTATCTTAATTGTGCAAAAACTGCAGACTTTAAATCCTTTATTCACAAAATGCAGATTTAAATTAACATGGAAAGCAGCAGAACTGACAAAGAAATTATATGCTGATATATTTAGGACAGTTTTACCTAAAAAAAAAAAAACACTTTTGCAAAATTGGACTAAAGAATAGAGTTTTAAATATGTTGCAGGTTTAACAGTCTCTTTGTAGCTGCTTGAAGATGTTTATTACGCAATAATCTTGCTAATAAGCTGTGGAAATAAAAACCTGCCACTCTCTACATGAAATGCCATTACATAGCAGATCAGATTGGCATATTATCATGCAGAATTGTATTTTTACCATCAGAATTGTAAAATGCTACAAAAGTGAAAAATGACTTAAAATGTCTGCGCCTATAGATTTTGTCAAGGCCCTCCTTCTGACAGTCAAACACTAATAAGACGTGTGCTTTATTCAGCCAAGGTTTATTCCAATAGTACAAGTGCAGAATGACATGCAGATGGGTGAGCGAACAGAAGGACAAACAAAGCTCGATTAAAAGCCCAGACACTCTCTAGACCCCGGTTTTATTGATTGTGGGGCAGGCTGAAATTCTAAAGATAAGTGGTACTCCTGCTGTTCTTTTTAAAATAGTCAAGCATCAAAACAAAGGCCATAGAACGTCTAACGTTTGCAGTTATTTTTGAAAAGGACTTTCACAACATATAAATAAAACAGAAATATTTGCTGTTTAAACCTGATAGCAGCTGGGTCTTTGACCGTTTTGTCTGCACCAGTAAGATTTTTAGAAATATCAGGATTTAGAGCTGATTTAACACCAATCAAAAACAACGATCCTGTCAGAATTGTAGCGAAGATTACATCTGGTCTGATTGTTAACAGACTCTCGTTTTAAATAATTGTCGCTTTGCATTCAAATAAAAAATACACATTGAACTAATTACAGGAAACATCCTAAACGTCGGCTGAAGGGTGTTCTAGTTATTGCAGGTAAAGTGTGAATGCTGCCATGCGAATTCATGAAAAGAGGAAAACAAGAAGGAGGGAGAAAGCAAACAGAACTGTGGCACAGAATGGTGGGATTAGTGAAAATGACCAGCAAAGCTGTTGGCAGGAAAAAGGCACAGCAAACCCAGATCACTGACAGCCTTGTAAGGGGGACGAATCTTGACATGCTTGTGAATTTCCTGTGTTTTTGATGAAGTGTGACAAATTCAAACATAGGTTTGTTAAACACAAAGACATCTGTCTTATACTTGGGTGTGCCAACAAGTTGAACTGAAATTAATTCATAACCAACTTGGTGATAAGCAAAAAGATGATAATCATAACCCCTTAACAGCATAAATAAAAGGGTTAATAATAAATTTTTTTATAATCAAATGATAAGAACCCAGCATAGTTATTTATTTAGGCATTGTTCAGTGATGAAGGCTGCATAAAGCAGGACAGAGTTAGGTTATGGAAAAGAATCTTAGCGTATCATTTGGCCTTCTCTCCCCAAAATGGTGAAGGAGGATAGCTGACATAGAGGCCAAATCATACCAGTGATAGAGTAATTTAAAAAAGTTAAATGATGAATTTTAAACAGCAATGTCTCTGAATGATGTGGAGCTTTGCAAGTAAAGACAGTTTCTAGTTTCTACTGGATGCATCTAATAACACTGTATTTCTTTTTTTGTACTTTGTGTAAATCCGTTTAGTCTTATTGGTGTTTTAGGTGCTCTATTAATAAAGCTGGTATGAGAAGGTAATGCAAAACTGCATTCACTGTAATAACATTTTTTTTTTTTTTCCCCAACATGATTTCAGTTTTGATTCTTGTTTTTAATACCCAACTCCCTTGAGCCATCTTGGTGGATTCTAATTTCTCTAGGCTGTTCTTGATAGTTTTACAACTAAAGAGAATTTGAATTTGAATTAGAGTTATAAATCAGATTTCAGTTAGTTAACATGTTCTCCTGTTAGAGAGCGTCAAGAAAGCTTTCAAGCCTTGCAGCAACGAAAGAAACAAAAAAAAATTTGTTTTGTTTTCTTGCCCCAAACGGGAACCAGTAGAAAAAAAATTGTAAACAAAGTAAAATCTTCTCTAATACTCAAAACTAACAACTTTAAAGTGCTATTTACTGCATGGAATATATATTTATAGCAATTACATTGCCCCCCAAAAATGCAAATATCAGTCTGTTAGAAGTTTACTACTGAAGATTACCACAAAAGAGTCTTAAATAAGAGGCAATCAACTTTAGGTAATTTTTTCTGAAAATGTTTCAATTAACAGCAGAATTTGTATAGCCACTATTGAAGCTTGCTTTTTATCTCTAGTTGAACGTAAAAAAGTAAGAAGAAAGTAATAGAAAGAAAGTAATAAGGAATAGGAAAGTAATATCAGTATCCTGTCAAAGACATACAATCCCCTTATGACCTATTTATTTTTTAAGAAGATAAATAATTTTGCTTACCCGTCTTGATGTGTTCAGTAACACACAACCAGAGTCGTCAGCATCTGAAGACAAAACAAAGATTATTAAGTAAAGCAATAAAAAATGTCTGACTTTGGTCCATTTTTAGACAAACAACACATCCCACCTGATTACTGTATATTCCACTAGCATAAAAATTGATTGAATCAGGAAGTAAAAATACTTTACAAATTGTTCTATAAGTTGTACACCAAATGCAGTAATGCACGCTTGTTTCAAACACAGACATCAAACCTAGTGGTCATGTAAGTGGCAGAAAAACTGAACATGACATAGCTGTACTCTATGGCACATCAGAGCCTCAAAATTAGGGAATAAATACAAACCACAAAATATAAGGCACCATTTGTTTTTTTATATTTTAAAACAAACTATATTTGACTTGATGAAATATAACAATATCATCCGGGAAGTGTATTTGCCACATAATTGCTGTTGTTCTACAGTTGTCCACCTGGTAGATGGATTCTAAGTCATTTAAGTTTATCCTAAAGGCACTTCACTCAGACACTTTAATCAAGTAATACAGATATTTATTACTGAAAAAATATATAAAGCCTCTATAGTCAATTAACAGATGTGGCTGACAAAGCATGAATGCCTTAATGACTAAAAATACAACAACCAAAAATCATAAAGGTATAGCAGAAAATTCCTTTGAGATTGGTATTCTATATCTCTGATTATGGTTTCAAAATAAGCATCATTGTAAAAGCTGTTTTTTACAGGCTTCCTTTGATGCTAAAGATGCTTTGCTAATGTTACAAGCCCCATCTCAGTCGAAAACAGTACCGTCTCAAGAGGTAGGGTTTCCTGAAAAGTAGCCAATTATAATTTACTTTCTTCTTCATTTCAGAAAAAAGCAAGAGAGCACAGAGGAGGATGGACTTGTGGTTGCTACTGAATCTGAACATGTAAAACATTTCAAATGCTTGTGGTGAGAAGTTATATCCATGTGATTTAAATAAAACTCTGAGGGTTTATCAAACCAAGTTTGCATAACTGCAACACGCTAAAAGTTTATTGTTAAACTCTGCTTATGCCGTCTTTTTGACCTTAGGTCCTTCCTGCATAGAGAAACATCAGTCCTACTCGCCACTTTAGTACCAGACCATGTTGCCAGCTCCAATGATTTATTTACTGAACTCTCTTAAGTACTTATAAGAGGAGATGCTTTGAGACCTAATTACCCTATCCATCATTCATTTATCAAAATTGTCAGATTTAATCACATAAATGTCACTTTATAAATCAATACACTGCTCAAAAAAATAAAGGCAACACTAAAGTAACACATCCTGGACCTGAATGAATGAAATGTTGTCATTGAATACTTTGTTCCGTAGAAAGTTGAATTAGCTGACAATAATCAAATTCACTAATCTATGGAGGCCTAGACACACAAAATTAAAGTGGAAAAACACACTACAGGCTAATCCAACTTTGATGTAATGTCCTTATTACAGGTCAAAATGAGCCTCAGTGTTGAGTGTGGCCTCCATGTGCCTCTATGACCTCCCAATAATCCCTGGGAATGCTCCTGATGAGGTGGTTGATGGTCTGCAGAGGGATTGCCACCCAGACCTGGACTAAAGCATCTGCCAACTCCTGAACAGTCTGTGGTACAATGTGATGGTGTTGGTTGGATCTGTTGAAGACTATTTTTATTTTCTGTTATAACTGTTATATTTGTTTATCTCTATATCTGTTCACTCTTCTGTGTGGGTCAGCCAAAAAGGACATTCTTATGCTGACATATGGTGGCCAGAGAGTCTCCAGCAACACTTTCTATGGTAATTCTGTAGGCTGTGTGATGGGGCCAAGATGCGGACGGGGGGCTGTAGAGGACACTTGCTGGCTGACTTTTAGATAAAAAGGGGGAAAAAAGCCGAAACTCTCTGCCTTTTTCTGTGTGTTTCTCCCCTGAAAATGGCAGAAGACGCAAGGGCCTGACAGATGTGAGATCTTCCTCTGCAATTTTTGCTTGTATCAATGATTTTGTTAAAAACAACTGGAATACATTTTGTAAAAAATTAACCTTAATTCCTTCTTTGTGTACGCTATCTGAGAAACAATACCTCCATTGGATTTGGATAGAATATAAAGGATTCTATAACAACAGATCGAGACATGATGTCCTGGCTGTGGCTTGTCTCCTGGTAGCGCCTCCACTCTCTGAACACAACAATGATAGACACAGCAAATCTTCCTGCACAGCTCATATTGATGTTCCATCCTGGATGAGCCACACTACCTGAGACCCTTGTGTGAGATGTAAAGTCTGTTTCAAGCTGCCACAAATGTGAAAGCACCACCTACTATGAAAATTGACTAGAACATCACCTGGAAAGCTCAAGTACTGAGAGCTGGTCTGTGGTTCCCACCTGCAGAACCACTCCCTTATTGAGTACGTCTTGCTAGTAATATTTTCCATTGTTGTCTGTTATCCGCTTGTCTTTGTCATTTGCACAAAAGCATTTTAATGGATTGCAAATCAGTGTTGCTTCTTAAGTGGACAGTTTGATTTCACAGACCTTTGATTTAGATGAAATTGTGTGTTATTTACCTGTTCCCTTTATTTTTTTGAGCAGTGGAGTTTTTCTCCTTATTTATTTGTGTAATATTAATTTTAATGAAATGAGATAAGAAGCTATTTAATGCAGGGTAAAGATAACCCAGTTTAGAGTGCTTTAAGGTGTTTAAAAGTGCTGCAAATTGTAACTAAATTCTGGTCAAAGAGAGAAAAGAAAGACCAACGAACACAAGGATAGGGAATGAGATGTATGAGAACCCTCCCTTTTAAAAAGGTCTCTAAATGTCTTGCAGAAGGTAAGAGAAAACATTTTTAATAAAGGAAATGCCTTCAAAGATCGATAGACCAATTTACTCAACGAATGGGAAAAACAAATAAAATTTTATTTTCATGTTTCTTGTGAGATCCTTCTGCATTTCAACCTGTCATTTAGGAATACCATTAGAGTAACTTAAAACTGCCTCCAACCAGAGCTACACCTCTGCTGTCAAGTGCTCTATTTATACAGCTGGTATGGTAACATTTGGTTAAGCCTGTGTGCAAACTTAGATATGCATATCATAAAATTCATCCTCCTTCCTATAATGGTTTTATGTAGCATAACTTAATAAAATGACCTTAAGCACTACTTACAGTGCTGTGTGAAAGTATTTAGAATTCCCCTTTAACTTTTTGTCCATTTGCCACATTTCAGGCAAATTTGTAATGTTTTGTGAAGAATCAACAACAACTTTTTTTTAAATAAATACAAGCTGAAAAATTGGGTGTGAAAAATTATTCAGCTCCCTTGTATTCAGTTAATATTTTGTAGCACCACCTTTAGCTGTTACTCAACCCAGTCTCATGGGAAATGTACCCCCACTACGTTGGTCCACACTGCAAAACGTAGTGGAGGTACATTAATGGCCATTTTTTTGTGGTACTGTTACATTTCTTCTGCCTATACGCTTTCTATTGTAAACTGTAACATTTTGGTATAAACATGGCTGAGATTTCTCTAACTTTTAGTGGGAAAATCAATAATTTCAATCAGTTTCTGCATTTAAATGGGTTTTGATTACATTTATAGCGAGAAGTGTAGGGTTTATTTACATAATATTTACTTAGTGAACATACATAATCACCCGCTTGCTAGTTTTTGCTACGTTTTTCGGATCTCGTCAGGATTATGGTAAATGGTAAATGGCATGTACTTATATAACGCCTTTATTCAAGTTAGGAGACTTGACCAAAGCGCTTTACACTACATTCATTCACCCATTCACACACACACTCACACACTGATGGTGGCAATCTACATTGTAGCCACAGCTGCCCTGGGGCTCACTGACAGAAGCGAGGCTGCCGTACACTGGCGCCACCGGGCCCTCTGACAACCATCAGTAGACAATGCAGGTGAAGTGTCTTGCCCAAGGACACAACGACAATGGAAGTCGGAGTCGGGGCTTGAACCGTCAACCCTTCAATTACAGGGCAAACTCCTCCATCCAACACCACTGTCGCCCCGACCGGATCCTTTGTGCATTTAACTTCCTGTTTGGTGCGATCTCATTGATGGGTTTTGACCAGATTTTGACCAAAGAGGAACTTAAAAAAAAAAAACAATTAGAGTACACAACCAGCATATCTGGAATCAATGAGATCGCACCAAACAGGAAGTTAAATGCACAAAGGATCCGGTAGATTTCCAAATAAAACATATCCGATCTTAACCCATGATCCTTTTTTTAACTAGTTTAATTAGTTTCTCCCGTTTGCCACGACGTAATGCATTGATCTGAAAATCAACCTCAGACGCAACGCACGCAGTGGCGAGGGTTTGATCCGTCAGATGGAGTTAAATCACAAAGAATTCAATGTTGAATCAGGGCGGCAGCTAAATGCTAGGCGATGGGTAGCAGCCAAAACGTTGCAATTTCACATAATCCTGACGAGATCCGAAAACCCGTAGCAAAAACTAGCAAGCGGGTGATTATGTATGTTCACTAAGTAAATATTATGTAAATAAACCCTACACTTCTCGCTATAAATGTAATCAAAACCCATTTAAATGCAGAAACTGATTGAAATTATTGATTTTCCCACTAAAAGTTAGAGAAATCTCAGCCATGTTTATACCAAAACGTTTCAGTTTCACATTATCTTGAAAAATCTTTGCAAGAAACGAACAAGCAAGTGAATATGTACATTCCCTGAGTAAATATTCTGGCAACAAACTATACATTTCTCACTAGAAATGTAATCAAAACTCATTTTAATGCAAAAACAAACTCAAGTTATTAATCTTTCCACAAAAAAATTAGCGAATGTCGGCCATATATATATATATTTTTTTCTTCTCCCAGCTGGAATCTTGAAAGTCACGTGACTAGGACGTAAAACAATAGAAAGCGTATAGGCAGAAGAAACGTAACAGTACCACAAAAAAATGGCCATTAATGTACCTCCACTACATTTTGCAGTGTGGACCAACGTAGTGGGGGTACATTT